ATTCATTTTTCATTTGCAAATCAAATCACATTTTCGCTTAAACAGTACACACAAGGGCAACAGTTAAAGTAGTGTGAGTAGTTTTATTAATTCTGTTTTTATATATATATATATATATATGTGTAATGTCGTTTTTTTATTTTTAATATTCCTTTTTAGCATTTATTTCCGTTTTAGTACTTCAACTTAATTAATTTGTTAGCTGCCAAGGCAAGGCAAGTTTTTCATCGTTTATATTATTTTATTTTGTTATTTCAGCTTTGAATTGAGTGATTACTGATTGCACAGCTTGTCGTTTTGAGAGAGTCTGAGGCATTTGTACTGTTTTTGGTTCCAGCTGGGGCTTATTACCCCGCCCAGCCCCAGTTCACGCCCCCTGTTGCCCCGGCGACTGTCATCTTAACCCCCGCCCCCCAGCAGCAACAGGCCCCGCCCCCTCCTCCTCCGCAAGCTCCGCCCAGACGGGAACGCAAGCAGGTAAAGCATCCGTCCGTCTTCTGCGTCTGAAGCCTCAGTGCTTTCTGTGGCCTTTGTGTGAATGCGTTTTCTTTATAATATTTCTTTATCTAATGCACATTTGACTTGCATCTCTCACCGTTCCAGAAATTAAGCTGTTTTGACTTTTTTATCAGCAGTTTATTTCTGAATGAAGAATTATGTGCTCTAGTGAGCCGTATGTCATCCATCCAGATTAATTTGTTAATTTCATGCCGCTTTAATTGCCGCAAACTGAACAAATCCAGGCTTTTAAATGACTGGGCGAAGTGCAGAGTTCATTTAAGACATGGATATGCAACAAATGCAGGTTTATTATAAACATCGTTCCTGTTTCTGAACCGTTTGCAAAGATTTGTTTCTTGTTTCTTTCTAATTTTCCTTCTTTGTATATTTTTATTTGTGATTTTCTTTTCTTTCTTTCTTTTTACTTTATTTATTTATCTTCCTTTTACTTTCTTACTTTCTTTTTCTTTTATTTATTTATTTTTTCTTATATTTAATTAATTTTATTTAATTTCTTTAATTTTTCATTTTTGTTTTCTTTCTTTCTTATTTTATTTTTCTTTCTATATTTAATTTATTTAATTTAATTTGTTTTTTTTTGGTTCTTTCTTTCTTTGTTTATTTTTACTTTATTTATGTTTCTTTTTCTTTCTTCCTTTTATTTTTCTTTCTTATATTTAATTTAATTTCTTTCTTTCATTTTTCATTTTTGTTTTCTTTCTTTCGTATTTTATTTTTCTTTCTTTATATTGAATTAATTTGATTTAATTTCTTAAATTTTTCATTTTTGTTGTATTTCTTTCTTTGTAATATTTATATTATATATTTATGTTTTTATATTTTTTTCTTTCTATTTAATCTCTTTCTTTTATTTACTTTGTCTTTTTTGTTCTTTCTTTTTTCTTTCTGTTTATTTTATTTATCTTTTTCTTTTTTCCTTTATTTTTCTTTCTATGTTTAATTTCTTTCTTTTATTAAATTTATCGATTTTTGTTTTCTTTCTTATTTTATTTTTCTTTCTAATATTTAATTAATTTAATTTCTTTCTTTTATGTAATTTGTCTTTTTTTGTTCTTTCATTCTTTCTTTCTTTCTTTCTTCACCCTTTTCTTGTGTTTTGGATGCATTTTAGTATCTTTTGGTTTGGTTTGTCCTAGTGATGCACCGAAATATCAGCAACCAGAAATATTCTGCCGAAAGTGAATTTTCGGTTTCTACTAAAATAGTTTTGGAGTGCCAAACTCATTGACCGATTACATATTCCTTAAACGTTTACGTAAACTGTTGTCGTCATTATCCAGTGTATGCTTGAATAAATCATTTTACTACAGACACTTTTTACATGTTTATATTTTAGCCATGATTTGGAATTCCTGTTCAGTTTCACGTGAACTTACATTGTTTATCAATGATATACACTTCAGCCTGCGTTATTTCATCTTCATTTTAAAAACAATCACATTTAACGGTGCAAGAACTGCATTACCCATGATCCTGTGGAGAAATATCTACCAATGATAGATCTGCAGTGACGTCCACTCCCATAAAGCTCTGCAAATGATGTAATCGAGACATTTAAGCTACATTATTTCTATACTTATAATCAGCAGCTTTGAGTAGTTGAGTGTGTGATGTGTTGAGCGTGGGTTTGTGCTGTTATCAGGCTTTCTGATACCTTTTCTGAAACCAGGGTTGGGTGTAATGCATTAATTACTGTAATTTAATTACTTTTGCATTGAAATAGTAAGGTAAGGGATTACTCTGCATTTTTATGTCATTTAATTACAGTTGCCCCTGATGTAACTGCATTAGATGCTGTATAGACTATAAAACATATAGTGGATTTAACATCAAAGTGTAACATCTAATGTTAAAATGTATGTTTTTAATGTAACCATTTACATTTAGTCATTTAGCAGACGCTTTTATCCAGTTGAGGACAATAGAAGCAATCAGACCAATAAAAGAGCAATAATAGTGCTGTGAGAAGTCTCGGTTAGCCTAACGCAGTACACGGAGCCAGGGTTTTTATATAATAGTAGATAGAATAGAAAAAGAATGGGGAACGCTAGTGTTAGAGGCTCTTTTTTTATAATAAAAATAAAACAAGTCAAAAGAACAGAAATAGAATAGAGAGTGCTAGTGTTAGAGGGTCATTTTAAAAAAAAAACAAGTAGTAAGAATAGAAATAGAATAGAGAGTGCAAGTGTTACAGGGTCTTTTTTCTTTCCTTTTTTAATAAAAATAAAACAAGTCAAAATAATAGAAATAGAATAGAGAGTGCAAGTGTTAGAGGGTTTTTTTCTTTTTTTATAAAAATAAAACAAGTCAAAAGAATAGAAATAGAATAGAAAATGCTAGTGTTAGAGGGTAATTTTTTTATAATAAATAAAAAGAAAACCAGTAGTAAGAATAGAAATATAATAGAAAATGCTAGTGTTAGAGGGTCATTTTTACAATAAATATAAAGAAAACCAGTAGTAAGAATATAAATAGAATAGAGTGCAAGTGTTAGAGGGTCTTTTTTCTTTTTTTTTCTTTTTTAAATAAAAATAAAAAGTCAAAAGCAATAGACTAGAAAATGCTAGTGTTAGAGGGTCATTTTTTATAATAAATAAAAAGAAAACAAGTAGTAAGAATAGAAATAGAATAGAAAATGCTAGTTTTAGAGGTTTTTTTTTAATAATAAATAAAAAGAAAACCAGTAGTAAGAATAGAAATATAATAGAAAATGCTAGTGTTAGAGGTTTTTTTTTAATAATAAATAAAAAGAAAACCAGTAGTAAGAATAGAAATATAATAGAAAATGCTAGTGTTAGAGGTTTTTTTTTAATAATAAATAAAAAGAAAACCAGTAGTAAGAATAGAAATATAATAGAAAATGCTAGTGTTAGAGGTTTTTTTTTAATAATAAATAAACAGAAAACTAGTAAGAATAGAAATAGAATAGAAAATGCTAGTGTTAGAGGGTCATTTTTACAATAAATATAAAGAAAACAACTAGTAAAAATAGAAATAAAATAGAGTGCAAGTGTTAGAAGGTCTTTTTTTCTTATTTTTCTTTTTTTAATAAAAATAAAACAAGTCAAAAGAATAGAAATAGAATATAAAATGCTAGTGTTAGAAGGTCATTTTTATAATAAATAAAAATAAAACAAGTAGTTAGAATTTTTTATAATAATAAAACAAGTAGTTAGAATAGAAATAGAACAGAGTGCAAGTGTTAGAGGGTCTTTTTTCTTTTTTTCTCTTTTTTTATAAAAATAAAACAAGTCAAAAGCAATAGAGAGTGCTGGTGTTAGAGGGTCATTTTTATAGTAAATAAAAAGAAAACAAGTAGTAAGAATAGAAATAGAATAGAGAGTGCTATAGAGTAGGGCTGCATGATAAATCGCATGCGATATTTAACGCGCATCTTGTCAGAAAGCCGGTTCTGTAATCTGCGATTTATCGTGCAGCCCTACTATAGAGTTAGAGGGTCAAATGAAAACCTTCTCCGTTTTAATTATTTGGTCAATTCAAAAATAATTTATGCAATTTTATATGATTTATTTTAAAGAATTAAACATGTGGTTTCATGTCTGTTCTTGTATTGTTCAACTGGTTGAGGTTGATGTGGAAAATAATTAGTAAATCAGTACTTTCTAGAGAGAGTAATTAGTACAGTAATCTAATTACACTGTTGAAGATGTAATTAGTAACTAGTAATTAATTACGTTTATGCGTAACTGACCCAACACTGACTGCAACCAGGGTTATTACCTAAAACTAAAACTATTAAAAACATTTTTGTTAGTTTAAATAAATCTGAAATAAAATCGAAATATACTTAATCTAAACAAAAATTTGAATTGTTTTATGATTTTACGATGAGCTGTATTTGGAGTTAATAAAATAAATGCTGTATAAGAGAATTTTGTTTTTATTTCTATTTTATTTTTATGTTTTTTTTTGGCTAGTAATATAGTAGAAAAATTAGTAGCAAGTCTCTTCTGCTCACCAAAGCTGCATTTATTTGATTAAAAACACAGTGAAAGCAGTGAAATATTATTAATATTATGAATCTCTGTTAAACTGTAATTTATTTCTGTGATGCGCAGCTGTATTTTCAGCATCATTACTGCAGTCTTCAGTGTCACATGATCTTCAGAAATCATTCTAATATGCTGATTTGCTGCTCAAGAAACATTTCTGATTATTATCAATGTTGAAAACAGTTTATATTGTCGTGGAAACGGTGATGCATTGTATTTTTTGTCTTTACAAATGTCTTTAGGGTTACTTTTATGCTGAATAAAAAGGCCCGAATTCTTAGTCAGTCTCTCTGTAGAGTCATTCGGTTCAGTTCTGTCGCTCCACGTGGCTCTTAGTCTCCACCCCGTCTCTCTCTCTCTCTCTCTCTCTCTCTCTCTCTCTCTCTCTCTGTTCGGTGTGGTGGGCGTTCCACATTCCTGTGCACTCATTTCACAAGGCCAAACTCTCTCTCTCTCTCTCTCTCTCTCTCTCTCACTCACTCGGTTTCTCCTTTCCTCCTCTCATGTGAGAGAGAGTTTGAGGCCCACTTCGGCCCAGGCAGTGTGTGAATGTGCTGCCCACTTTAGTGTGTCTGAGTTAGGCTGAGTTTAAACTCCAGCCCCAGGATGAGCCGGGCCTAGCAGAACTCAACCTCTCCGTCCGAGGGGAGGAAGGTAGGGAATGTGCTGCCTCATGCGCGTGTGTGTGTGTGTGTTTGACTCGGAGAGCTGGTGAGTCGATGTATAATTCCTTGCGTAAAGTGCAGATAAGTCGGGCAAACAGTCAGATTTGAGTTTGTGCGGGGAAAGTTTCCAGGCTGTTGTGCATTTGCTTCTTTATAAGGTGCTGCACTGCGTGCGTACGTGCGTGTGTGTGTGTGTGTGTGTGTGTGTCAGAGACATTCGTAGCATATTTAGTCTCTCACAGCACTGAGAAATGCTTCTTGGGTTAAATCGCTCGCTGTTGTTGTTTTTCTGTTTATATCGTGACTTATTCGTGCTTTAGTCTTTTCATGTGCTGCATGTTAATGTCTCTCTCTCTCTCCTTCTCTCTCTCTCTCAGCCATGTTCTCATTCCTTCTGTTACGTGTGTTGAATGTTTCTCTGTAGATCAGGATCAGAGACCCTAATCAGGGAGGTCGGGACATCACAGAAGAGATCATGTCAGGAGGTCGCAGCGGCTCCACACCCACGCCTCCACAGGTAATGAACACACACCTGAACACCTCAACACTCACGTCAGTCCAAATGACTTGTTGTCATTTTTGCATAACAGAAAATTAATGTTTAGTCATCATTTACTCACTCTCGCATCAGACCAAATTACTTACAATTTTCATTGTTGTGTAAACTAACAATAAACGCTCTCATGTCAGTAGAATGACTTGTAAATAATTCATTTTTGCATAAACTATATTGCAAGTTTAGTAGGGATGTAACGATTCACTCAACTGACAATTCAATTCACAATTTTGTTTTTTTAACAAAATTAGATTTAAGACAAATTATAAATTAAATGTGTCCTTTTATTATTGCTTGGACAAAATACTGCACATTTCTTTGTCAAATTGAAATATAACACTATAATAATATACTAATATAGCACTTGCATATTATTGCTCTTTTGTTGGTTTTGATTGCTTCTTATTTGTAAGTCGCTTTGGATACAAGCGTCTGCTAAATTACAAAATTTAAATATAATGTAAATGTAAATAACAAAACTACATTGAAATTTTAAAACAAGCCCCAAATCAAATAAATAAGTAGCTCAAATAAAATAAATCTCTTTATATAAACAAACTAAGGCTTTGTCTGTGCTCTTAACATTTAAAATTAGACGCAACCACTGCATTTTAATCACGATCCAAACAAAGATGCTGCAGGCTCGCGGTTAATCGTTACATCCCTAAAGTTTAGTCATCATTTACTCGCTCTCATGTCGGTCCAAATGACTTATAAATAATTTCCATTTTTGCGTAAACTAAAAATGAATGTTTTATCATTTAATCTCATGTTGGTCCAAATGTCTTAATATTTTTGGGGGGTTTTTTGTAAACTAAAAATTAACCTTTTGCCGTCATTTACTCTCATGTCGGTCCAAATTACTTCATAATTTCCATTTTTGCTTAAACAAAAAATTTACGTTTTGTCAATTTACTCACTCATGTTATTTTCAATTTGTTTTTTGTTTTTTTGTGTGTAAACTAAAAATCAACTTTTTGTCATAATTTACTCACTCTCATGTCGGTCCAAGTGACTTATAAATAATACACTTTTATTTTTGTGTAAAAAAATACACATGCAGCCCAACAGTGACAACGCCACACCTGCAGTTGCCATGACAACCAGATCGGAGTTTCCTATCCCTCCGGGCGAAAGCCCGCTACCCGATGCTCCGCCGACTCCGCCCCCTACCAGTCTGATAAGCGATACGGTAGATGCTCCGCCCCCAATGCCTGCAGACGACGCCCACGCGACGCCCACTGTGGTGGAACCGCCCACCTCTAATGGTGCAGAAGCCACACCCACTAAAAGCAAAGAGGAGGGGCCTGTGACTGTAACGCTTCCTGTCCCTGCCCCCAAGGCAGAGCCTGCACTGGAATCACCAATAGCGCAGCCCGAAGAGCTCCAGCTATTCAACGGAGTCCCAGTTAGCTCCGCCCACAGAGACATCAGTCCTATCGCCGAGCCGGACATCACGAAAGAAGCGCCGCCGGTTACTGACGATATCTTTGATAGGACTGTCAAAGAAATCCCCCCTCAAGTTGTCAAGGAGACTCCTGTTGCGATTGTTAAGGAAGTGCCAGCTCCTATTGTCAAGGAGCCTATTCCTACTGTTGTCAAGGAAACCCCTGCTCTTGTCGTCAAGGAGACGGTTGCTCCTGCTGTAAAGGAGACCCCTGCTCCTGTCGTCAAGGAGACGGTCGCTCCTGTTGTCAAGGAGACCGTCGCTCCTGTTGTCAAGGAGACACCTGTTCTTGTCATCAAGGAGACGGTCGCTCCTGTTGTAAAGGAGACAGTCGCTCCTATTGTAAAGAAGACCCCTGCTCTTGTCATCCAGGAGACGGTCGCTCCTGTTGTCAAGGAGACACCTGTTCTTGTCGGCAAGGAGACGGTCACTCCTGTTGTAAAGGAGACCCCTGCTCCTGTCATCAAGGAGACAGTCGCTCCTATTGTAAAGAAGACTCCTGCTCTTGTCATCAAGGAGACGGTCGCGCCTGTTGTCAAGGAGACCCCTGCTCCTGTCGTCAAGGAGACGGTCGCTCCTGTTGTAAAGGAGACCCCTGCTCTTGTCGTCAAGGAGACGGTCGCTCCTGTTGTAAAGGAGACCCCTGCTCCTGTCATCAAGGAGACAGTCGCTCCTATTGTAAAGAAGACTCCTGCTCTTGTCATCAAGGAGACGGTCGCGCCTGTTGTCAAGGAGACCCCTGCTCCTGTCGTCAAGGAGACGGTCGCTCCTGTTGTAAAGGAGACCCCTGCTCCTGCCTTAAAGGCGACTGTCCCTGTGGTTGCCAAGGAAACGCCTACACCGGCTGATGTAGAAGCCCTTCCGCAGGTCACCCAGGAGACTGTTGTCAAGGAAACACCTGTTGTCACGGAGATCCCTGTCGAAACGCCACCTGTCGTCAGGGAAACACCTTCACTCGCTGCCAAGGAAACCCCCGAACCACTTTTCAAAGAAGCCACTGCCCCTTCAGAGGTAGTTTCTGAAGCCACACCCCCTCCGACAGAAGAACGAGAGGACACGCCCACTACACAGACCACTCCCTCTGAGAGTACTATGCAAGGTATGATCATTTGTGTTTTGGAAATAGTAAGAGTTGTGTGCTAGTATGTGAATCCAGATGTTCTAAAATGTAAAATAACAGTGCCAGTGTTTAATTTACAATTATAATATTTATTAATATTTTGAATTAACTTATATTTTTATATTTTCAGTTTTCTTTCCTTTTTTTTTAGTTGATTTCTTTTTTCTTTTTTTTTAGTTTAAATTGTAGTAATTTTGTTACGTGCTTAAGCTTTTTTTTATTGAGCTTTATTTTTATTCCAGTTTTAGTTTTATCAACTTTAGTATTTCAACTTAAAAATTTGAACTGAAATAAACGTGTAAGTGTTTCGTCTAATAGTTTTTCATCTAATATTTAAATTTTATTTCAGATTTCTGTAGTTTTAGTTTTAGTTAAAAACAACAGCGCTACATATTTGAATTGTTGCCACAAGGGGAGCTATAGTGTGCTTTTCGTAAACTAAAAATGAATGTTTTGTAATGTAATATAGCACTGGTGCAATTTTAGCATTATTTATGTATGATTATAGTATTTATTCATATTTTGAATTAACTTTTATTTTTATATTTTCGTATTTTTTTTTTTTTAGTTGATTTCTTTTTTTTTTTAGTTTAAATTGTAGTAATTTAGTTACGCGTTTAAGCTGTTTTTTTATTTAGCTTTATTTTTATTTCAGTTTTAGTTTTGTTAAGTTTAGTATTAGTAACTTTAGTATTTTTAGTATGTTTTGTATGTTTTGAGTGTAATGTAGTACCGGTGCAATTTTAGTATTATTTATGTGCGATTATAGTATTCATAAATATTTTGAGTTCGTTCTTTATTTTTGTATTTTTTTTATTTCAATTTTAGTTTTAGTGATTTCATTATAAGGTATTTTTTAAATATTTTAGCTTTATTTTTGTTTCAGTTTTAGTCATTTTAGTACTTCAACTTGGAAAAAAAGTTTTTCATCTAATATTTATATTTTATTCTATTTTAGTTTAATTTTATTTCACATTTCAGCCGTTTTAATTCTAGTTGACAATGACAACGCAACAAGTGTTCAAGTGTTGCCACAAGGGGAGCTATAGCACACATTAACATAAACTGTTTTTTTTTTCAGTCAGTCGTACAGAGCAACAGTTCGAAGAGAATCCCTGAGCAAGTTTATATCTAGCTACCTGAATAATAACATCTGGTTTAATAACATTTTAAGGAAACTCGAGCGCCCCCTTGAGTTTGGAGGTTTGATACCATCACAGTAACGCATGTTAAGTAAGATTTCGCACATACTCTACGATTAAGCATTTTCTTTGCGACCAATAAAAAAAAAACTATGTGGTATGAATGTAATCCGGACGCACTTCGTCCATCAGATGCGCACTTCAGAATATCGCTGGAAATAGTGGGTCATTCGAGGACTTGTTGCATACTATTTTATGAATACATTATTTTGTTTCGCCTACTATGTAGTAAGGAAGGACACAGCCTAGATGGTAAACCAACAGTTAGTGTTTGCATAATTGCATGAGAGTCTGTTTCTAGCCTGAAGCTCCTTCCACCACTGGAGTTTGTGTTTTATATCATAGTTAGTGAATGCCGTTGTCTGTTTGATTTCATAGTGCATTTATCTTCATACTCAGTCTGTGTTTGTGTGTTTGCAGTGGTTTCTGTGCCAAAGAAGAAGAGAAAAATGAAAGACCTGAACAAGAAGGAGGCAGGAGATCTGCTTGATGCCTTTAAAGAGGTCTGTGAACGGTTTGAGGCCAGAAACGGTTTATTTGTATTCAATAAGAACAAAGTAGTTCAAGGCCTGTTCATTTATATTTTATGCATTGCTGTGAGCCATGTGAATCCAAGACGAAACCATTTTTGAAACATTTATGGGCTTTAATGTAAATAAAACAGATTTCGCTTGCAATGCAATGCAATGCACTGACTCAAGCCATCAGTGAAATGTTATGGATTTGATTTCTTCGAGTATGGACCGATTCGGTGTGGTTATAGTATGATTAAGATGGAAGTGAGCTGTTGTCTTGTTTTAAAGCCCACACCACCTGAGCCAGAGGCCACACCCCCAGTGAAGGCGGAGCCAGAGAGTGCCCCGCCCCCTGCTGAAGAACTGGAGGAGACTTGGGAAGAGAAAGAAGATAAACTTGATGCTGAAAACATCAAACCAGAGAGTCCCACCCTGAGTTCGCCCACCGAACAAAAATACCAGTATAAAGAAGGTAAATCAGCATCTGATGCACTTCAAAGGTGCTGTGCTGTAATACTAGCACTTACCAATTATATTCTATTCGTTTTTATTTAATAACAAAATAAAAAACACCTTGCTGTGTGTACTGTGCTCGACTAACTGAGACTTGTATTCTGTTGCTCTCTTGTTGATCTGAATGCTTCTATCGTCCTCATTTGTGAGTCGTTTTGGATAAAAGCGTCTACTAAATGATTAAATGTAAATGTGCTCATATAACATAATTATTCAGATCACCGATTATGGTTGCTAATTAGTGACAAATATATTTTTCTGATAAAAATGTTTTTTTTTTTTAAGGGCCAAATTTTTTGATGATTTTATGTCAATAATTTTTATTTATTTATTTATTTCCATCACTAAATAAAAAAATAAGACAATAAACACAACTTTATATTTTTATATATACACATTCTTATTATTCAGGGATATTGTAGTTCACTAAAACTAAAACCATAAAAAACATTTTTGTTAGTTTAAATAAAATAAAATATTTAAAAAACTTACATTTTTCATTTAATTTAACTTGAAAACTTGAAACAAAAACTAAAATAAAAATTAATATAACTATATATAGACATTTAAAAAAATACTAATAAAAATGAGAGAGAAAACAACTAAATTATTTTTTAAAATAAATTAATAAAACAAAATATAAAAATAAATTCTAAATATTAATAAAAACTATAATAGTATCTCACTGATGCTTAAAATAACATTGATTCATGTCCAAAACACATACATGTACATATTTTTTAAACATGTACACATATTTGTGTTTATGCTTAATTTACAATAATTACAAAACATATTAATTAAAAAATAATGTCATAATAGTTTTAGAGCTGACTCTTCATTTATCCTGGTAGGAAATAAACGTCCAAAAAATCCAAAATCCGTATCTTAGGAACGACAAACTGTCTGTGTTTTAAACTGCATTAAATGCATGGCCGAATCAAAGCAGAATCGCTAATAAAAATGTCCTTGTTTCCCGCAGAACAATGGAAACCCCTGAACCCCGAGGAGAAGAAGAAATACGACCGGGAGTTTCTGCTCGGCTTCCAGTTCATCAACGCCAGCATGCACAAACCTGAGGGTCTACCGCAGATCTCAGACGTGGTGCTGGATAAGGTAGCTGAAGCTCTCACACACACACACACACACTCTCTCGCTCTCTCTCTCACACACACACTGACACTCACTCTCACTCTCTCTCACACACTCACTCACACACACACACACACTCTCTCGCTCTCTCTCTCACACACACACTGACACTCACTCTCACTCTCTCTCACACACTCACTCACACACACACACACACTCTCTCGCTCTCTCTCTCACACACACACTGACACTCACTCTCACTCTCTCTCACACACTCACTCACACACACACACACACTCTCTCGCTCTCTCTCTCACACACACACTGACACTCACTCTCACTCTCTCTCACACACTCACTCACACACACACACACACTCTCTCGCTCTCTCTCTCACACACACACTGACACTCACTCTCACTCTCTCTCACACACTCACTCACACACACACACACACTCTCTCGCTCTCTCTCTCACACACACACTGACACTCACTCTCACTCTCTCTCACACACTCACTCACACACACACACACACTCTCTCGCTCTCTCTCTCACACACACACTGACACTCACTCTCACTCTCTCTCACACACTCACTCACACACACACACACACTCTCTCGCTCTCTCTCTCACACACACACTGACACTCACTCTCACTCTCTCTCACACACTCACTCACACACACACACACACTCTCTCGCTCTCTCTCTCACACACACACTGACACTCACTCTCACTCTCTCTCACACACTCACTCACACACACACACACACTCTCTCGCTCTCTCTCTCACACACACACTGACACTCACTCTCACTCTCTCTCACACACTCACTCACACACACACACACACTCTCTCGCTCTCTCTCTCACACACACACTGACACTCACTCTCACTCTCTCTCACACACTCACTCACACACACACACACACTCTCTCGCTCTCTCTCTCACACACACACTGACACTCACTCTCACTCTCTCTCACACACTCACTCACACACACACACACACTCTCTCGCTCTCTCTCTCACACACACACTGACACTCACTCTCACTCTCTCTCACACACTCACTCACACACACACACACACTCTCTCGCTCTCTCTCTCACACACACACTGACACTCACTCTCACTCTCTCTCACACACTCACTCACACACACACACACACTCTCTCGCTCTCTCTCTCACACACACACTGACACTCACTCTCACTCTCTCTCACACACTCACTCACACACACACACACACTCTCTCGCTCTCTCTCTCACACACACACTGACACTCACTCTCACTCTCTCTCACACACTCACTCACACACACACACACACTCTCTCGCTCTCTCTCTCACACACACACTGACACTCACTCTCACTCTCTCTCACACACTCACTCACACACACACACACACTCTCTCGCTCTCTCTCTCACACACACACTGACACTCACTCTCACTCTCTCTCACACACTCACTCACACACACACACACACTCTCTCGCTCTCTCTCTCACACACACACTGACACTCACTCTCACTCTCTCTCACACACTCACTCACACACACACACACACTCTCTCGCTCTCTCTCTCACACACACACTGACACTCACTCTCACTCTCTCTCACACACTCACTCACACACACACACACACTCTCTCGCTCTCTCTCTCACACACACACTGACACTCACTCTCACTCTCTCTCACACACTCACTCACACACACACACACACTCTCTCGCTCTCTCTCTCACACACACACTGACACTCACTCTCACTCTCTCTCACACACTCACTCACACACACACACACACTCTCTCGCTCTCTCTCTCACACACACACTGACACTCACTCTCACTCTCTCTCACACACTCACTCACACACACACACACACTCTCTCGCTCTCTCTCTCACACACACACTGACACTCACTCTCACTCTCTCTCACACACTCACTCACACACACACACACACTCTCTCGCTCTCTCTCTCACACACACACTGACACTCACTCTCACTCTCTCTCACACACTCACTCACACACACACACACACTCTCTCGCTCTCTCTCTCACACACACACTGACACTCACTCTCACTCTCTCTCACACACTCACTCACACACACACACACACTCTCTCGCTCTCTCTCTCACACACACACTGACACTCACTCTCACTCTCTCTCACACACTCACTCACACACACACACACACTCTCTCGCTCTCTCTCTCACACACACACTGACACTCACTCTCACTCTCTCTCACACACTCACTCACACACACACACACACTCTCTCGCTCTCTCTCTCACACACACACTGACACTCACTCTCACTCTCTCTCACACACTCACTCACACACACACACACACTCTCTCGCTCTCTCTCTCACACACACACTGACACTCACTCTCACTCTCTCTCACACACTCACTCACACACACACACACACTCTCTCGCTCTCTCTCTCACACACACACTGACACTCACTCTCACTCTCTCTCACACACTCACTCACACACACACACACACTCTCTCGCTCTCTCTCTCACACACACACTGACACTCACTCTCACTCTCTCTCACACACTCACTCACACACACACACACACTCTCTCGCTCTCTCTCTCACACACACACTGACACTCACTCTCACTCTCTCTCACACACTCACTCACACACACACACACACTCTCTCGCTCTCTCTCTCACACACACACTGACACTCACTCTCACTCTCTCTCACACACTCACTCACACACACACACACACTCTCTCGCTCTCTCTCTCACACACACACTGACACTCACTCTCACTCTCTCTCACACACTCACTCACACACACACACACACTCTCTCGCTCTCTCTCTCACACACACACTGACACTCACTCTCACTCTCTCTCACACACTCACTCACACACACACACACACTCTCTCGCTCTCTCTCTCACACACACACTGACACTCACTCTCACTCTCTCTCACACACTCACTCACACACACACACACACTCTCTCGCTCTCTCTCTCACACACACACTGACACTCACTCTCACTCTCTCTCACACACTCACTCACACACACACACACACTCTCTCGCTCTCTCTCTCACACACACACTGACACTCACTCTCACTCTCTCTCACACACTCACTCACACACACACACACACTCTCTCGCTCTCTCTCTCACACACACACTGACACTCACTCTCACTCTCTCTCACACACTCACTCACACACACACACACACTCTCTCGCTCTCTCTCTCACACACACACTGACACTCACTCTCACTCTCTCTCACACACTCACTCACACACACACACACACTCTCTCGCTCTCTCTCTCACACACACACTGACACTCACTCTCACTCTCTCTCACACACTCACTCACACACACACACACACTCTCTCGCTCTCTCTCTCACACACACACTGACACTCACTCTCACTCTCTCTCACACACTCACTCACACACACACACACACTCTCTCGCTCTCTCTCTCACACACACACTGACACTCACTCTCACTCTCTCTCACACACTCACTCACACACACACACACACTCTCTCGCTCTCTCTCTCACACACACACTGACACTCACTCTCACTCTCTCTCACACACTCACTCACACACACACACACACTCTCTCGCTCTCTCTCTCACACACACACTGACACTCACTCTCACTCTCTCTCACACACTCACTCACACACACACACACACTCTCTCGCTCTCTCTCTCACACACACACTGACACTCACTCTCACTCTCTCTCACACACTCACTCACACACACACACACACTCTCTCGCTCTCTCTCTCACACACACACTGACACTCACTCTCACTCTCTCTCACACACTCACTCACACACACACACACACTCTCTCGCTCTCTCTCTCACACACACACTGACACTCACTCTCACTCTCTCTCACACACTCACTCACACACACACACACACTCTCTCGCTCTCTCTCTCACACACACACTGACACTCACTCTCACTCTCTCTCACACACTCACTCACACACACACACACACTCTCTCGCTCTCTCTCTCACACACACACTGACACTCACTCTCACTCTCTCTCACACACTCACTCACACACACACACACACTCTCTCGCTCTCTCTCTCACACACACACTGACACTCACTCTCACTCTCTCTCACACACTCACTCACACACACACACACACTCTCTCGCTCTCTCTCTCACACACACACTGACACTCACTCTCACTCTCTCTCACACACTCACTCACACACACACACACACTCTCTCGCTCTCTCTCTCACACACACACACTCACACACTCACACACACCCCTGAGCAGACTGATATATAGGGGTTGTGGTAGGGCAGTCTTTTTTCAATTTTTCTAATTTAAAATTGTGATTTAAATTACATGTAAAATAAAAGACTATTTAAAATAATACAATTATTATTGTTGTTATTATTTAATAAAAAATATAACTATTATTATTGTTGTTATTATTTATAAAACAAAAAACTAAAATACTACTGTTGTAATATTACACTGTAATAATAAAAAAATCAAAAGTACAGTATATTTTTACTGTATTAGTATTGATTTTGTTTTTAGTGTTTTTTTGTATTTTTCCTTTTTTATTATAAATCAGTATAACTATTGTTATTATTACTAATAAAAGTATGAAACAGAAATATTAATATGATAATATTTCATTGTAAAAATAAAAAAATCAAGAATTTAAGTTTTTTTGTACAGTAAACTGTAAAATTACAATACTAATATTTATGGCTGGCTTAATGTCTTAATTTTTTCAAACGTTAAATCGTTGGGGAAAAACACTTCATTCTAACTCATGCAGTGTTTTTATTTAAGTAATACATACAGCAACGTCAAATAGCACGACATACTGTCACGTTTGATTGCTGTTTTAAACGTGTTATGATTCATATCAAGAAGACAGTATGTGAATATGTATATACTTATATATTTACATAGTACAGAGGCTTTTATGACGTCACTTCCTGTCTCTGCCCCTTCAGGAAGAGGAGAAGCAGAGGTTGAAGGAGGACCTTGAGGACGCCAAAGACAAAGCCCGGCGACGGTCGCTAGGCAACATCAAGTTCATCGGCGAGCTGTTCAAACTGAAGATGCTGACGGAGACCATCATGCACGACTGCATCGTAAAGCTGCTGAAGAACCACGACGAGGAGAGTCTGGAGTGTCTCTGCCGCCTGCTCTCCACCATCGGGAAAGACCTGGACTTCGAGAAGGCCAAGGTGACACTTGCGCATAACACAACATTACACAACATCTCATGCAGCAACCATAGCAGGAGTGTGCTATATTATTGTGTATTCTGTTGCAATATTATTTATATAAATGTGTGTGTGAGTGAGAGTGTGTTTGTGTGTGTGTGCGTGAGAGTGTGTGCGTGTGTGCGTGCGTGTGTGTGTGCGTGTGTGTGTGTG